ATGCCTATGTTTTGGCTCTAAAAATTCATTTAAAAATCAGAGCTGCAAACAAAATGGCTCTACCCAAATATAACGTTTCATTTCTGACTCATGAGATCTGGCAAGTACTCCTGTTCTGTCCCCCATGAAAACTACCTTTAGCTTTCTATAAAACAGAGATGACACAGAGTAATAAAATGCTCAAGCATCTGAAGAACATAAAGATTAGCAATCACAGGACACTAATTATGCTGCTCTTTCCACTGGAACAGGTCAGACTTAGCTGCTAAGCATAAACATTTGCTGACTTATAGTTGTGCCAGACACTTAAGGATAAAATGAGAAACGAGATGGAATCCCCACCCTCAAGGGGGGCCTGTGAAGCAGTATAAACTAAAAATTATAACATAATCATTGCCCTAATAGTTATTATTTCCAAGATGCTACAGGATTACAAACAAAGAAACAAAAAAACAACTATTTGTTCTGGTCTGCTCGAGGAGAGTGCAAGGGTCAGGAAGGCTTCACATAGGTAGACAGAAATGAGTTTAATATTGAGAAAAGAATGAAAAGATTTTGCCATATAGGAATCAGAAGAAAAAAAAAAAGCCTTACAACTTAGTGTAAAGGGACCACATATTTTAGTAAAGCTATTTGATTTTAAAATTGAGAAAATTTACAAAACAGTGTTTGCATGTTTAATCAAGAGGTATATAAGTGCTAAGAGGCAAAATTGAGCTCTAGGTCTTCAGGTTTTGAACCATTCTTTCTTGCTGTTTAATAATGATTACAGACATCATAATCTTACAAAAAGAGATCATTTTGAAGCTAGTTTTTTTTTTTTTTTAAACAGGCAGGACTATACTGTTGAGCTCAAAGTGGGACATATAGTGAATTAAAAAATAACTAAACTCCCCAAATCATGTTAACTTTACATTTATTAATATACTTGTTTTTTAAAAACATTAAAAGAGACATAACCCTTATCTAGTTTTAATCTTTAAAGAACCATTCCTCTGCTAATATAAAAGTAAAAATGATTTGGTTTCATAACCTGCAAGGAAAACACACTCTGATACATAGATGACTAGAGTGTAACTTAGTAACACTTTAATGACCCTCTAGGTGGATGTGGTAAATGATGTTACTTACAAGACTAATAATTCATTGTAGCATTGTTAGTAATAAAACAACTAAATATTCATTATTTAGAGTGGTTAAATGAATTAAGGTACACAATAAAGTATGGAATAAATAAAGTATGGAAGAGCAATCAGCTGAGATGAGCATTGTAGTAAAACACTGGAGAGATAACGTGACCAAAACCAGGAGACTGGCAAATGCCCAGAATAGACAGAGTCCAGAGAGAGGTAAATGTAAATGGGTTTTGGCAATAACTTGGATTCAGGTGAGAATCCAGGGCCTGGGTGGTGTCAAGAATTAGCCAATCATTCAAAGTTTTAATGCACAGGTCTTGGGTTTCATCTACAATTTATATGCAATGCCTAGGCACTAAATATTTCTGTTAAATGAAGATTTTATATTTTCTAGCAAACAATTTTACACTAGTAAGAAGAAAAGTATACATTTGACTATAATAAAATTTAGCTCTGGTGATAATTTTTAAAAACCTATTTAATACAACAACCTCAGACCACAAGGTAAGTGAGGAACATTATCCACGTGAGAGTCTACCCCAGCACTTACCAGAAAATGTGCTTTATTTCACAATTGTTGGAGTAGTTCCTAGTTGTACAGCAATTCCTGATACTCTACTGCTAAAGGACTTTCTAGATATCATGTTATTTCTACTCCAGAACTAAAGTAGTATCTGACCCTGACTGACCTTCAAGCACTGGAAGCTATGCTGAGGCAGGCCAGTAAAGAGGAAAGATGAGGACCAGAAGGCCAAGTGCCTCTTAAACTGAGCATTTCCTACAGCCCTCTCACCCTAGAATGAAAGAACCAGCATGCTGTTTATCTACTACAGGGAGTTTATCAAGTCGACTTCAGTTTTCACATTGGCAAGTAAAAGAAATTAGGCAAACTACTCGTGAAATAATAAAAGTTCCAGAAAAAAAATACAAACTATTGTGTATATTTATGCTATAAAAGTCACTAAATATTAAAGAGAAAAATAAGGTTTTTATCTGAAAAAATGTTGACATAGTAATAACTGAGATCACTTAAGGTCTAAAATATACTCCATCTAAAAATATCTATAATTTATGTCATATTTTCAAAGAATCTACTCTAAAGATTTGATCAATAATCATCTAGGGAATATTTATAAATTTATATCATAAGAAAATGAACAAGATCCCAAATATTAAACAGTCTAATTTCAACCAGCCAGAAAAACCCAAAGAAACAAAAATCAACACAATCAGTTCTTTACCTGCAGCTCCTTTGAAACTCTCTCTAAGTGATTAGTTATCTTTTTAATCAGGTCACTATACATCTGTTCCGAGTGTTGCTGGCATACACACTTATACACACAACTGTAAAACCAAACAAAAAACCAAGTTAATGAAGATGCACTTAACTCAATCTAAGGTGAAAGCACATTTTTAATATATTACCACTAATCAAATAATTCAGATTTAAAACCAGTGACTGACCACAACTTTTAATAAAAATTTGCCCTCCCCAATCAATGTCTGGATGGAAAAGATATTACCACTAACTGCAAATAATCTTGAGTAGAGTGTATTCCAGCACTAGCTATTCCAATACTG